GTGTCCCATTCATCCCAAGATTATTTTCTTTCATTTTTTTATGAATGTCTCATCATAAGGCCATTGAAGTAGCCATAAAAGGTCACATTCCTTTTCCCAATCCCTATCATATGTAAAACATGGAGACACATTGTTTCATGTTTAGAATTGATGTCCCATATTTTTATTCCAGCCACTGACTGCCGATCACAAAACCTTGTTTCATTTTGATGAACTTTCAGACTATAATATAAAGTTTCCTCACGTTAAAACTGGGGCTGGGACAGATAGTTAGGGTACACTGACACAACAGAGCTCCAGATAAGCTGCGTATCTGTGTGAAATACGCATCAGAAATGCAGAAATACACAGTAAAATATAATCTAAGCATATCAAATACGCAACGAACATTACAGATACGCTACAAAAATCAAACTTGTGCGTATCATCAAAATATTGTGAAGTAACCCTGCGTATTGGATTAGCAAATCAGCAACTTATTTTGAATTATAACGGGCATTCCGTCAACCTTGCCAAACTCCACGATGACAGTTACATCATGATCATTTGCCATCACACTTTCTTGTAGAAGTATCGTGGTATTTTTTAGTCCTATAAAGCTCTCGAACCCACACGACACCAGTTTGTAGGGACTAGATGAATAGTGTTTTTAAATAACTTAACTTAAATACCCACATGTGTAAAAACTAGTGGGTAACAGAAATTTGAATACGCAGATAGAATTACTGATACCCAATGATTTTAAAATGCATGGGTAAAATACCCACAACACCAAAAGCTTATCTGGAGCTCTGCACAATGTTCTTTCCCAATCACAAGAAAACTGCGAGCATTACAACACTGGAAATGACAATCAACAAATTCAAACTGAAGTCCGCAATTAATCCTATTATTACTCTATCTGCCTATAAAAATGCGTTCGTTGGATATCTGGACAGATTTTAAACTCTTTTTTTCAAACTCTGAAATGTGCAGCATAGATCATGTCAGGTATGCAGAGCAAGCTCGTACTGTTGTGGTGGTCATCTACCCCCTATGACTCCATCTTGGCGCGACAATTATTTGGACCCCCAAGGTTTTGTTTTGTTTTGTTTGTTTGTTGTTTAATGCCACACTCAGAAATTGGTTACTGTTTGCATAAAGATAAAACTTCAGTCAACTTCAGAGAATGCTTGACCAGATCGTCAAACTTTTCCCAATCTGACATTTGGACCCATCTTTTGAGACCTACAGCAGGTACCCAGGTTGGGTCAGATTAATAGGGGTTGGGTACCCAGGTAGTAAATTTGTACTCGTCCCATCCCTAGTTGAAACCAACTTCTCAGTGAACATAGGAAAGTCTCAGTGATTTTACTGCAGCTTCGATCACTGGTGTGTGGAGGGACAGCACTTTTAGTGGCCCAGTGATCGGGAGAGAAGAATAAAGTTCTCTCATGCTTCTTTCAGCAAAAATTATTTAGATCTGGGTGACAGCAAAGGAACACAAAGTAAAGGTGCAATTTATTAAATAAAAACAGTTACTGAATTCTTTATGCAAGTTCCAAAAATAAACATGATAAAACACTAAAAACAAATCCAAATATATCTTGTAAACTTATGTATAAACATTATGACTCAAATGTTTGTCCATTTTATGAAGACTGCAGTCCAGATTGACAAACTTTATATTCTAGCAAGCGTTACATCCCTTGGTGTCTCACGCACTATTTCATCTAAAGATGGTAGACGTGTATAGGTGCATATAGCTGAAACGAGACATGTCAGGTGAAGGACATATTTTTATGAATAACAACTGCTGTATTCTACACATCGTCTCTTCAGGGTCCCTTCATTAGATGACCCATATTGCATGCTCATATGTTTACATAAGGTTGGATTAATGTACAATAATAACAATATCATAACCATCCTGGCTAAGACATTTGTTGGCAACAAATCGAAATTCTTCATACCAACATCAATCACTGGAAAAAAGGAAACTGCAAGACACTATTGCCATACAAAGAAAAATGTCAGCCATTCACAGAGAGCAATGCCAACTTAAAATTACAAATATCATTTCTATGATATTTGAAATAATATTCAGAAAATAATCATGATCATGAGAGGTACATAATCATAGCTTCTTGATTGATCAAATTCTTAGTAAATAATTTCCATCATAATGGTGAAATTTACACTGCTAAATATGTTATAAATAAATTGGGGAAATGCATTTATCTTTAATAGTTGTGTGGAATTCTGTTCCGTGGAAGTGTAAAGCTAATAACATTGACACAACCCCTGTTGTCTGTTATTGTTCTCCCAATGAGCATGCATGACAGCTTCACCTATTCTAAACAATAGGTGGTGGCAAAATGAGGGGACCCCATATTTTTAGTACCCAATGATTTGTGGCCATGTTTGTTTAACTTTGATATGTGGAAGTTCTGGTTGTCTCAAAGTAAAAGCTTGGTCCCTGCGTATTCCTCCTGTCAAATCTAATGTGTTAAAGTTACGGTTGTCTTGAAGTTAAAGCTTGGTCCCTGTGTATTCCTCCTGTCAATTCTAATGTGTTAAAGTTACGGGTGTCTTGAAGTAATAGCTTGGTCCCTGCGTATTCCTCCTGTCAAATCTTATGTGTTGAAGTTACGGTTGTCTTGAAGTAAAAGCTTGGTCCCTGTGTATTCCTCCTGTCGATTCTAATGTGTTAAAGTTACGGTTGTCTTGAAGTAAAAGCTTGGTCCCTGCGTATTCCTCCTGTCGATTCTAATGTGTTTAAGTTACAGTTGTCTTGAAGTTAAAGCTTGGTCCCTGTGTATTCCTCCTGTCGATTCAAATGTGTTTAAGTTACAATTGTCTTGAAGTTATTTTCCAGTTCCAAACATGTACTTCCAGCACAACTTTACTATGATGAGACAATCTAGGCACAACTCATCAGTCATCACACTTCACTTAATAAGGAAATCTCCACTGCATTGAGTTCAGTGTGTCAAAGACTTATTGTCTAGTCAGTAACGAAAAGTTTAATTGATGTGTTTATCAGGGAATAATTAAATTTTCTTTGTGTTCATTGTAATTCCTGCATTCTGATCAGCTGAAGTGGTCACTAGTTATTGCATTCATTTCCTAATGAATGTACAAAAATATGCCACGCCCACCTAAGCAGACTACTTTTATTACTACAGAATGTCCGTGAATCCCAAGATGACAGGCAAGTGAATTCCCTTTCTGCTCCACTGTATCGTTATGCACAGGATATTGAGCGAAATTCAGGCATTTTCATTGTCCAAACTACCGAAGGCCGAGAAGGAATGAAACAGCAAACGTGCAGACTCGCTCGCCTGTGTTCCACAAATTTCATGTCTTAGGGTTTCATTTCTAACCCGCACATTTTCAACTGTGTCTTCCCGTTCTCATGAAACTAATGTTTGAATCTGGCGGTAACTGACCATGTCCTTTGAAAAAGCAGCCTTCTCCATATATTTGTTCCGGTTCGTTACAGTTTGACTGTTGCAGTGCTTCTCGCCTTTTGCCTTGATTGACAGGTCCTATGAATTTTGTTTTGATCCTTCTCTCCGTTGATTGGCTACTGATTTGTGTCAAGTTTTGTGCACAAATTAAAAAATCACCTGATTCATGTTACGCCACGGTATGTATTCCTACACCTGGAATGTTTATTAATCTCAACATTTTTGTCTTCTTTGATTTATATAACATATTTTAATTAAAATATTGTACATAACACATGTTTTCGTGGTCGAATCTAATTATAAGGATTGACTGTGTATTTTATTCGGTTCATTGAGGTATGAATCAAAAACTGATGTGCAAACATTTGAAAGAATCCACGTCATCAGTTTTTCAATTCATACCTCAATGAATTGAACAAAATACACAGTCAATCCTTAATTAACAGGTCATTTGATCAACAACAAGGTCAAGGGTGAATGGAGTCATGTGCTTGTCATGTGTGTATCTTGTGTCCATATTTTGTGGAACGTGTTATGGATCAGGATTTGCTTTGATAGTCTTTTTCTTAACCTGGTGTTATAACATGACGGAAAGATATCGAAATCAAACAGTGCGGCTGTAACGAATACACTATGAGGGGAATACAATTCGTATCACGAACATAGGGTAACAAGTCAGCAGCTGACGTATTATTTGTTATTTTCAGTGAAACAAAAGCAACACAAATTATTTGACATGGTTTGTTAATTATTAATATATTATACATCTATATACATCACTTATCCAGGTACTAGTATCTGCTCAAATGCAACAATGACCAGTGACCACATTACTGTCAAATTAAATAGTATAAGAGTGTTGTCTTTGAAGAAATCTACGCATATGATATGTTCTTAAAAGTATTTTAAGTATTCACCGAATATGCAACTGAATCGTAACAGCCCCAGCGGTTAGCAATATGACAGCAATGTCGTGAAGGACCTGGTATAACTGAGAGGACAACCAGATCAGCTGTTCCTACGCCTAGAAAAAGTGAATTAACAGTAAATTCAATTAAGACTAAGTATGAATCAGTGACGCCAGTTGAGCTGGGTTCTCAACTAAATCACAAATTGCCAAAGACTTTGGTGTCCCCCTAAACACAGTGTCAACATGGATAATTAACTTGACATTCCTTCAATTGGTAGATGTTAGCTACAAAGTTATTTTTCAGTTATGTTGACCTTGGATAACACGAAGTAATTATGTAGGTCCCTTCAACTTGGACACAAGAGTGTTTGACTGTATGAAGCAATAGTTTTTCAAGCAAAATGGCATTGCATCAATGTAAGGAGCTAATTTATAGCACTCAGTTCCTGCAAGTTCATTTGCATATTTATTGCATTGTGATACGTTTATCAGACTGGTTTCTTGCATCGACTGTCATCCAATGAGAAATATACTTTCACACAAATAATCTGGACAAACACATAAGAAATGCATAGTATAATTCTCAAACTCAACCTGGAAATCCAGAAATTGATAGGGTATGATCAATTTCAATGATAAAGAAGGAGGATATCCATCAAAATACAACTGCCTATTACCATGTATTGTCCAGCTCATCATGAAACTGCCCTGTGAAGATCCGTCATATAGCTGGAATATCGCCGAGTGTGGCATTAAACTACAAACAAACAAACTTGTATTTCATGTTCACCATTGATACATAGCCAACAAAAAACTGGTAATATTTATTGACAAGATACATTTTGTTTTGTTAATATGTGACAGATACAACATTGTACATATTTATTTTATTCACCTTCAGTATCTGCTTTTAAGTGTTCAACTTTTATGTTTAATCATTAGTTAAGATAGATTAAATGTAGTTAATGTGACCTTCATGTTGTAAGCCTTAACAAACCCAAGCCATGACGTGCTCAATTGATTGGCCAAGCTAACCCTCAAAGTTGACCCTTTGTCTCACTGCATGTTCTCAGTCTGCACACATTTCCTGCACAGACATGTTGACCAGTGAAATCATCTAAAATCAGGTTAGTTTAATATGTATGTGTATACTTGTATTGTATGTTATTGCAGTTAAATGTTGCAGTATATTAAACCTGTACTAAACTTAACTAAACGTGTTTAATATTATCATATTCTCAGTTACAATCTATTTAAGTAAATGTGGTAAACAAGATTTATAAATTGTAAGCTTTGGTAATTACTTATGTATCACTTTTCTGCCTCTTTATTCTTGTATGTATGAGGAAGAGTGTATGTGTTGTTTTACTATGCTATGTTTTAAATGGTTTTGTGATCAGTTCTGTATAATATACAGTCTGTACTATACGGGATCCGGAGAAATATTTTAACGTGTATGTAAATAGTTGTATTAGTCATTGTTATAAAAGTATATGTTTTATTCAGATATCCGGAATTATAAGTTGCGGCGCTAGTCGGGAAGACACCCAAGTCTGACCCACAGGGTAGGCACATAATAACTTGTATAGTCAGTTTCTATATTTGCGTAACACATAAGTGTGTCACACCCGTAAAGTCATGTATATGTATGAATTTGGAAGAGATTTATAATCTCTTTACACTTAGATAATATATGAATAATTATTCTATTTGGTTCCTACATCAGTTAGCAGATCATTGTACAGTATAACAACTTATATATGAATAAGATGTGTTTGTAATGTAAAACGGTTTGTAATACTGTGATGTCGATGACTGCATTATGTATATTGTTAATATTACTTATCATTCCTTTGATATGTTTCAGGGTGTAGATACTAGATACTACATGGATAAATATATGACAAATCCATTGGCGGAATAAACGTCTCTAACCCCTAGCGTGTGTTTGTCATCGCTCATTCACTGCCCTGCTACAAATACGTAATACATACACCAAGTTATTTATATAATATGTGTTAAGTGATCACGCAAATGTTTGGAACCTGTTTTAGGTGTACAATATTGCAATGTAATAACACCAGTCACAGAGCCCACCACTCAAATCAGATTACAAATACATGTCACAATCCTGATCCCAACATTGGTGACTGACAATCAGAGTTTCCTGCACAGCAATCATGGATCAAATCCACAAAATAAATCTCCGTAAAAAACTGTAATATTGGAACGATCAAGAAAACAAGAAAACTAATACTCATCCCAAACCCAAAGTACAATTGTGATTGCAAAGTGAGATTTTGCCTTGCTGGGTATAGGTTCAGCTATATCTGGGTGTCGTACTGGATATGTGAGAATGCTTGTATACTGCAGACGGGTCCCCTCCATGCTTATACAGGACCCTATAACCAGGGTACGTATGCTCAGAACGACCCTTTCTGCTTTGAGGGGTCCCCAGGGTTAGAAATTGGCACAAGTCCTATAGTCCTTGCCAAACTGCCCAATAGTAAAGGTAGCCTAAGGACTGGTAGAAATTTGCAACTTTTAAAGGTATTGCTATATGTTAACATTATAAGGACTAGTGGACTGAAACTGTTAGTTTCTACCGCTGGGTCCCTAGATTTCAATACTGAAGCTTAACCCATACACGAAATGGGGAAAGACGATGGCCATCTCGTTTTCTATCATTATACTATTATCTCTTTATCAAAGAAAACATCTCATCAGCATTCAGCAGGGTCTTGCTGAAAGAGCATGGGCATAATTGATATCATTTGCTTAATGGGATGACGGCTCACCCAGAAATATAAAAATAGCAATTATTTGTGCTACATTGAAATAACAATAAAATGCGGTCCGCAGAGATACTCCCGGTCATCGTGAGTAGAGAAAAAACGGAAAAGATTCTTATTTTCGTGTCAATATTTTATTTGGAGCAGCTATTTAGCTTATTTTCAACTAAAATGACATTGACGAGAACCTAAACGCCCCAGCCACTTAGATATCTGCTTCCAACGTTTGGGATAACAGTTCTTGTGATCATAAAATGGTTTATCCATTCAAAGTTTACACTTTGACAGCTGTCAAAGCTCGCGCGAAAGTGCACGTGCGCTTTACCGCAAGTCATCAATTTGTTTTTGGGAAACTACGAGATTTTAAATGTATATTTTGTTTAGCTGAAGGTGAAAAATATTGTAAATACCCCTTGAATATTACCAATAGAAGTCGGTGAGTACTTACCCATTGTGTCTTCTAAAATAGCTCGATCATGCAATACCAACAGCTCGTAATTCTACCTTTCAAAACAAACTCATCGGAGACCGGAAGTGTACCCTGCGTTATTTCCCTTGGCTTTGTTTGGGTCGGGTGCAAATGTTCCCAAATCTAAAGTCAATCTTGCTATCTGCGAAAACCTTTCTGTTTACAGTTTACGAATTTGTCTCGACTTAATATTTAATGTGTCTTGGCAGTTGATGGTTGTATGTGGAGATCATGTGCAATCAGAAGTGATATCAATCGAAATGAGTTATTTTCTAAACGTTAGAGAAGATAATATATTCGTGTATTTCCTTTTCAGCTGATCTCAACACACTTGTTTTATTTGAATTTAATTGCAAAAGATCAATCCTAAGAAAAGTTCTCGTTATTAGTTGCGTAAGCTGTCCTATCGTTTATAGTAGTGAGTTTGGTTAGTTTAGTTTTAGAGCATTACGGCGTATAGTTATAATTTGTTGAACGATGAAAGCCAAAATTAAGTGACTCAGGTCGCAAATGTTTATTCATTTCAGTGTAACCACACACTTTATTTAATCATTGGTCACATGCATGGCGGAAATGTCGAGCACGAATATTGTCGTAACTGACCAAGAGTAATCAGAGACTCGAACCCGTTGTCAGCGGATCCTTGCACGACTGAGGAACGCAACTCTGCTTTACAAATTGCGGTTTCATCAACTTGGCTTCCTTTGCACCCCGTCCAGAGTGATTGAGTGGATGTTTGCGCAACACTCCGCAATATTTAAGCTGTATTACCACAGGCGCTGTAAGTTTGTTTGTTTGTTTTTTGTTGTTTAACGCTGCACCCACCATTATTCCAGCTATATGACGGCGGTCTGTAAATAATCGAGTCTGGACCAGACAATCCAGTGATTGACATCATGATCATCGATCTACGCAGTCGGGACATGCATTTACCAAGTCAGAGAGCCTGACCACCCGATCGGTTAATCCCTCTTTCAACAAGATTGGGTTGCAGAAGACCACTTCTAACCTTATCTTCACGAGTCCAACTCTGTGTAATTCGACCTCAACAGAAGAACAACCTTAGAAAAACCGCACAGTTGTGGTATTGTATACGTCATACATACTTAACCACCTTCAACTTGTTCATATGTGGTGAATTACATCACCATCCGGTCTTCAGAGAACATCATTTACAATGGCAAGATGTGAGACCTTTAGATACACCTTGACCACAACCTTTTTTCATTTAGGTATTTATTTCACAGGTAAACTTAAAAAGGTTAAGGTTAAATGTAAAGCTTCAGCATATCTATTATGACTTTTCAGACATATAAGGTATTTATGGAACATGTTTTCAGGAAGTGGCACTTCTCAGTACACCAAAAGACCAACTCTGGGGAGATGTGATAATTTCCACTCGCAAATGAGTGCACTATTGTTATAAGGTTAAAATGCATCTAAAAAACATTAGAAAATGATAACAAATAAAACCATTATAGCTGCAATGAGGAGTTGCATTAGATATAGTTTGTGACAGAACTTTTAGTTTGAAAGGAATCAATAGATAAAAGACATTTCACATTTATCACAAGTGTATTCTGGACATTTCATAATTATCATTAGATTGGTATCTGGCTATCGTTCATTAGTTAATGAAACAAATAGAGAGTTTCAAGGTATATTTCATTTGGAGCTTCCGGATGCGTGTCACAAAATCAATAGAGAGATGAGCAATATGGCACGTCGGCTTCTGTATTTTTCCGATTACGACACACATGAGTTCATGGTCAGATCTAACTTTTAACGAATCAAAATGAGGTATTATGACATGTGACAAGGACAGGCCAGGCTCGAACACTATAAAATGATACCTTCAACATTAGGAGAAGAGAGCGCGGTTTGCAATCGATCGAGTCGAATCCCGATCGTTCTAAGTTTCCCCGAGTTAGGGACGAGTCTGACCGGTCTGATCCTGTCGTGTATTGATCGATGGGCTGAGAGTAAGTAAAACTATGTGAGTATAAACTGGTGTTGCGTTTCTTTATTATGCGTATGTGAATACTGATAGAGACAACTTGGAGTAAGGACAAGGCGAGTGGCAATGTCATGGCGTAATTGACCAGTAACGGCAATACATTTAGTAACTGTATTAGGGTCGCACTGGACGCCCGAAAGCAGTTACGACACTATTCCGACACACGAAACAGATACCGAGATTTGTAAAGCAGTTACTATTGCTAAAGTCAATTCCTTATCAACCACTATAGGTTGATAGACGTCATCAGATAAACCGAATGTATAACCTGCCATTCGCCAGCTGTTTCGCATGAATATCGCCAGATGTTAGTGTAACACATTGAACATTGGAAATGTCAGTTGTTCATTGAGAATAAAATATATCACATGTCTACCGTATTTTCTTGAATATAGTGCGCACTTTTTTTTCAATAGTCACAGCTGTGTAGAATAGCGATCAGCTGGTAAGCTTAACTTTATTATTATTTTAAATATATTTAGTAAAATCTGCAACTAAAGATATTGGAATATATTATTCCTGATAAAAAAATAGGTTCAGATACAATTTTTGCCGATCCTTGCATTAAAATCCCTTAAAGGTATATCATTGGATGTGTCTTGACCGAATCCCCGGTAGATTCCAAGAAAACGAGTGTACGGCTGATTGCTGTTTCCGGCTTAGTTTACGAGAAAATACACAAGGTAATCTTAATCCCTGGATGTAAAACAATGCCTAGCAGAACAAAAAATACTATTTAAACGGTAAATCAACATGTGATAACAGGTGATATCTTATCTCAAATTTCATTTTTTTACTGACCAAGTATCTTATCACCCGTTCGTTTACCGGAATTCGCTGAAGAGGTACGGTGTAATTTATTTTTGCGCATAAAATTCGATTCCCCCCCCCCCCCCCCCCAAATACTGAATTTCCTAGAGGAGGGTGCGCACCACTCAAGAAAATACGGTAGATGGCGATAAATATAAAATGTCAACACCAGAAAAAAAACCAGTTTCGGTTATCTTCACTGGGTGTATAAAAGGCAAAATAGTATAAATTGATCACTGAAAATTTGTGAAGACACCAGGTGCTCCACTGGTAGTTCCGCCACTCGATTGAACAATAAACCCGTGCATGCCTATATTGCACCGTCCACATCCCCTCAACAGAGTTCAGTTTTATCCATACACGAACACGCAGATTTAAAAAGTCGCACAACCCTTGCTTGGGCGTTAAGCCGATCGGTATTTTGAGATTAGGAAAACATATTCGGCTTCCAGATCCAAAAGCTGTGTTTACACCATTCGGCAAAGAATCTCGTGGAACTATGAGGTTATGTCGTGTTAATCACTATATGGTCTCAAACGGAAATGTGCAATTGTATAATTTGAGGTTATATAGTAGATACGATGTGAAAACTGCAATATAATAACCTTATTATCATATACCATAACATCAAATTGTAAAATTATCCATTTATTTAAAATTATCAAAATTATCCAAAACTTCCGTGCCGTGAAGAGGTCTTCAGCAACCCATGCTTGTCGTAAGAAGCGACTAAGGGGATCGGGTGATCAGGCTCGCTGACTTGGTTGATGCATGTCATCGATCCCAATTGCGTGGATCGATGCTCATGATGTCAATCACTGGACTGTCTGGTCCAAACCCGAATATTAACAGGCCGTCGTCATATATAGCTGGAATATTGCTGAATGCGGCGTCAAACAACAACCAACCAACCAACAACATGCATCAACAACGTTCACCGAGCCTGACCACCCGATCCCGTTAGTCGCCTCTTTCGACAGGAAAGGCTGGAGCTGATGGAACATTGCTTGACATGAATGTACGTTGACTGTTGGAAAGATGAAGTCATGACTCCTCTCCTAAGAATCTTTATACATAGATTTAAATACGATGGGGCGGTTTCATTGCCCACTTTTATATCTAGTTGAGGTGGGTAACACTATTGACAATTTGACCTGAAGTAAAACATCTTGGCCACAATCCCAGGTTTTGATTCTTAGCGAGTGGGTATGGTTTTACGGCGCTTTTTGCAATATTCCAGCAATATCATGTGGGGAATCGAGCCCGGGTCTTCGGCGGGACGAGCAACCGCTTTAACCACAAGGCTACCACACAATTACACTATTTTGAGATAGAGATGTAAGGATGTCCCATATATCAAGGAATGACGTTTTCCTAAATTTTGTAGTCTGAAATAGTGTTATATAGCGTGGAATATGCAAATGATTTGACAAAATTGAACTTAGTTTATTTCAGAGATTACAAGAATTCAAGCAAATTATGGTTACTCTTTAAGACAGGGATTTGGTGGTACATTTGCTGGACCCTTCAATATCTCTCTCTCTCTTTGTACGGATACTTATAGAGTAAGTTCCTTAGAATCTTGTACAAAAGAAAGGATAATGTCTTCAGGTTTTGGGCTCAAGCCAAAATCGAACAATTAAATGGATATAATCCGAAACTTTGATTTTCTGCGGCTATCGCAAGTCTTCAGATACATGCTTAAAAATAAAAAGACAGAAATTCGATAGTAAATAACTTTATTACTTCCAAAAGCGTCCATGACATTTTCAAACCATGCATGTCTTACTTATTCATCTGGCTATTTATATAATTATATCTGACAATTTATATTTACTTCACGTGGTTGTAGAAAGGCAGTCACATGATCAACCAAACCGCAATGGAAAAACATACATTTATTTCTATAATACAAAAGAATAATACATCACTGGTACATTTATATATGTCCGCTAATCGTACAGTTCGCCAGAGGTCTCTCTTTACAAGGATATGTTTGTTGGTGGAAGAACGTGTGAACAAGTTGTCTTTGAACTGTGTCTGACCAAGGTTTTTAGCCTACAACTCTCACGTATCTCTAAATCTATCCCAGAAGTCCTAAACTGTACAGCAGTAGTTAATCTGTGTAACTCGGCCCTGATTGTATGTAACGAACCTCGATTATCCAGTTTATCATATCTCCCTGATATTCACCATCATATAAGGGAGATATAATAATATATAATAATGGAGATAATCGAGGGTGAGCCATGGTAACCGTATTGTTGTCGTAGGTCAGACCGGCTGCAATCTCATTAAAATCAGATCTTATAGTTCTCGCTGCCGCTAAACAAAGATCTGAGGACATCCCATTACAGGTCACATCAGAACGACCTTGAGTGAATTTTGACCGACCAATGGAAGAACTGACAAGAAGTCGACTTTAGCCAATCAGAAGGCAGATTTCTCATGCTTTACGGCACTAATTTCGAATTGGTGACTACGCTTCGAAACATATTTTGACAAATTCTCGATTACAAATTTTAAACCTGAACAAAAGAACATTCTGGGGTGGCTAATAGATGATCTAGATTGTATGGATTCAGTCGTTAAACCCGTAACTATCGTTCGGAATACCCCGTGTTAAAGTTTTCGAGATCACATGATTAGAAATCACATTCCGACTGTCACTTTCATAATCTGGTAAGCGACGCTCTGATTGGTCGGATGAAAGGTCGTTCTGACGTTACGCGTAATGGGATGTCCTCAGATCTTTGTTTAGCGGTAGCGAGAACTAAAATCTGATTTTAATGAGATTGGACCGGCTGTATTCTACGAAACACTGTATCCACCAACAGTGGTTGTAAATATTGGTCACGTGAAATAGCAAGCCTCCGTCTAGACGTACCGATATCAAGGGCCCATTGAGGACACATACACATTTGCTTGTTCACATGTTCTGAAATAACGTTTAGTGTTATATGCATTGATATATGAGTAAACTGGGGGTTTGTTCGTTGTTGGTCTGATTCCAAGTGTAAACCAGAAATATCCATCAACAGAAAATAAGAATGAGAATTATGTATGCAATACAATTAGCTATTGAACATCACATTAATCTAACACTGGCAACATACACACTATATGCAAATGAACATTTCACATAATAATAGTTCCACACAAATAAATTTGACATAAAACACCTGCATGGAAGGTTCTTTAAGGTGAACTTTCTAATCCGCCAATCAACTTAGAGGCTTCTAAATACTCGGTACGACTGAGCGAAGCATCCAGACCAGCATATCCATTTCTGTATGTCGAAAATAAACTTAAAATGACAAGTTCCGAATGTAAATAGTTAAGACCGGGTCATCATATTGTTGTGGATATTTAATAACCTTGTAGTTTCTAAGGTTCATGGTATCTAAATCCGAAAGGCATTTCAATGAGTGAGTTTCTTTTTTGGGTAAAATCGAGATTTCCGAATCGAGGTTGAAAAGAAATTAAGCCGAATTGTTTTAGAAAGGTGACATCTGATTGGCTCAATCCTTAATTCTGATTAGGCAGGCAAAGTGAGAAGGTTGCTGCGGAAAGGTACTTTTTTTTGCCACAGGTTATACCAAACAATTAATTGGTTACTTGAAATGCTAGATCCAAAAAGTGTATGTCTTATAGCATATTCTACCTTCAACAAAAATCCCGCCCCCGGCTTTTAAGTAATCTATCAATCAAAACATGACGCTGGTGTCGTGCCAAAGGCATGTACACAGTAACAGCAAACCCCCGTTAACCAGAACTGTAATTACTCGATGAAACATTTACGACGAATTCGACCATGAAGTTGAAAATACGCGATTCTGACTGGTCAATCGGAGGTTTCTTTTCACCATAGCCACCTCTGACAATTCAATTCAATTCAATACAGTGTAGTTAAATTTACAGATAACCCAGCCCCAAATACAGCATGCTTATCTCCTAAATAATATCCTCAGAGAATCTCTTAGGGTTATCTATTCTTATATCTCCGGTTATCTCGAAGTACTGATAATTCGATATGATCACAATGTTAACAAGCACGAGGTTTCCCTTAATCAATTAGTACATGACGAAAACAAGGTCCGGTGATTGATAATAGTGACAATGACTTGAAACCAAATATTCAAAATGCATTTTACCTTACATTATCACTGTTGAATTAATATGATGACGTTATATGATCTTATTGAATAACATCTGTGTGATACAGAGCATATATGTCACACATCTACTAACAGTGCTAACTATTTTGAAAAAGCAGTGTGACGAATCCTACTGGAATCAATGCACAAGATATGCTTGGATCACTTTCAGGCTATATAAACGCCTGGATCCATTCGCTGTCATGGCTTCGCGAATATTCGAAAATCACGACGCTAAAAATAATATTACTCGAGCGAGAGATATGCTGTGCTAAGTTGGAAGAGGAGCGATAGAGGTGGTGACGTCACTTCCGAAACGATGTGGCAGCGAATGGGTGCAGATTATTGATCACAATAGAATAGAGATGTATTACCCTGGACAATCGAGGATAGTGATGAGGCAAATAATCCATATGCCTATGTAATATCAGCAACAATCTCTTCTCAAACCATGGGGATTGCACACCAGTAGAGTTTGCTGGCGCTATTCTCCGATGAAATGTTATGGAGATTTTACAGTTCAGCACGAGTGTGTGGTTCAACGGTGCTTATTTTTTGCCCAGGAGGGAGAAAACGGAGCCTCTAGTACCACTGCCACCAGCCGCTCCTCTTCCCAAACCACCGGCACCACCCATACCACCGCCTAATCCACCCAAACCACCGGCCCCACCCATACCACCGCCTAATCCACCCAAACCACCGGCCCCACCCATACCACCGCCTAATCCACCCAAACCACCTGGCATGCCACCACCCATTCCAGCTTGTCCTGCCCCACCCATTCCACCAAACGCCCCACCCATTCCACCTTGACCGCCCATACCTCCAAACATCCCGCCCATTCCTCCAGCGCCACGCATGCCACCTGGCATGCCGCCCTGTGCCCCGCCCCCAAACATTTGGCCAGCTTGACCTCCAAATCCGGGTGGACCTCCAGGTCCTCCCTGGCCACCAAACCCTCCAGGTCCTCCTTGGCCACCAAACCCTCCAGGTCCTCCTTGGCCACCAAACCCCCCAGGTCCTCCTGGTCCTCCGAAACCACCAGGTCCTCCAGGTCCTCCGAAACCACCAGGTCCTCCTTGGCCACCAAACCCTCCAGGTCCTCCTTGTCCTCCGAAACCACCAGGCATACCCTGTCCTCCTTGTCCTCCGAAACCACCAGGCATACCCTGTCCTCCGAAACCACCAGGCATACCCTGTCCTCCTTGTCCTCCGAAACCACCAGGCATACCCTGTCCTCCTTGTCCTCCGAAACCACCAGGCATACCCTGTCCTCCTTGTCCCCCGAAACCAGGCATTCCTTGTCCTCCGAAACCACCAGGCATACCCTGTCCTCCTTGTCCTCCGAAACCACCAGGCATACCCTGTCCTCCTTGTCCTCCGAAACCACCAGGCATACCCTGTCCTCCTTGTCCCCCGAAACCAGGCATTCCTTGTCCACCCTGACCGAAAGGTCCAAATTGCCCGTTCTGTCCAGGCCCATTATTATTACCTTGTTGACTAAATTGTTGACCTGGGCCAAACTGTCCGTTGTTCTGACCAAACATATTTTGACCAAATGGATTGTTACCAAATGGTCCAAACGGACTAGCAAAAGGATTGGCAAAAGGATTTCCAAAAGGATTATTTCCGCCGTTAAACATATCGAATGGATTCGTTGGCGCCACAGAAACCGAATCAGAGGGAACCGGCGCCCCGTTAAACGCGTCAAAATGACTCTCATCCAATTCCTGTACATCAAAATCTGCAGCAGAGAAAGTATCTCTGTCAAACTCATCAAAGGGACTATCCAGGTTATACCCTCCCTCCAGTCTCTTCATGAAGCCTGCCTCAAAGGCCTCCAAAGTTGGCACCAATTCCCCGTCCTCTGTGATAAATGTGCCGTTGACTGTTCCATTAGCAGCAAGCAGTGTTTGGTTTGCTGCCAGAGTTTCATTGCCCTCGAGTTCCGTACCTTGTGACACGAAGGACACTTGAAGGCCTCCCTCATCGAAAACCGGAAGTACGCCGAACGTCTGCTTTACAAGATCGTAGAAACGATCATGGATATCAATGTTTTCACCAGCTGAAAAGAACAGGATAATTAGCAATGACTTTTGGAAAAGCAATTCAATTATATTTGGACCACAAAAAATATCACGAATCGTAATGTGTATCATCTCGACAAATGTAGGTAAGATGAAACGAGTGATTGTATAGTTCGTATCTCAGAGCATATGACAACATCTTACTCACAAGCAAAGTGTATTATTTCATTACATACCCGATTTTTCACTGGTCAGCCAGTGTGACTCAAGACGCCAGAATGTTGATTGATCAAGGACGACCCAGGCACTGAAACCCAATGAAACAATACGATTTAACACAGACTTTAAAAGATATGTACATTCAAAAATGGCATTGTTCTTTGTCCAGTTCTAGAAAAACAAACTACTACACTACATTTAAGACTACTATTATACTAGAACCATATCTATTAAGTGTAAATTTACATAAGTTTAGAACAGCTCTTTCTCGATTCCGTTGTGGCTCACATGATCTATTTATTGAAACAGGCAAATATGAAGGTATTGCAAGAGAACACAGACTTTGTAGGATTTGTAAACCTGATTGTACTGAAGATGAATATCACTTTTTATGTGTATGTCCAGTGTATGAAGATTTAAGAGAAAAATATCTAAATAACTATTTCTACCGCAACCCAAACGGTAACAAATTTTGTAAATTAATGACTTGTGATTGTACAGAAACTATTAGAAATTTATCAATGTTCATTTATCATGCCATGAAACTAAGAAAATGTATGAATTTGTAACACGCCCCACACATTGTTCTATAGGCCTTTGGCCTCATACGTACCATGAATAAAGATTGATTTATTGATTTAAAAAAAGGGTACCTTGTACCCTTTACACATTATTTGTGACCATAACAAATAGTTATTCGAAGAGGGCGAAGAAGGGATACATACACGCCCCTAAAAAACATATACTACTCGAAAGAAGTTAAAGAACACCCGATGTCTCACATGACTGAAATTAATACACAGTAATATGAAAAAAAATCGGATGTTCTTCAACTTCTTTCGAGTAGTATATATCAGAAACTTATCTTATCTATCGTGGACATTTTATTAGTTGGTCATAAAGTTTCACTCTAACGCTCCCGACCCTAGTTTCAATAATACAGCCACAAAACCCTTTCCGTGATAAGAAAATCTCTGCTAAAATCAGAGTCTAAGGTATAATTCCAACTGTATCATAAAAATGTGTTTATGAGTCGCTGTCAAATAGGGGGTAAGGGTGGCCCAGTCGTCTAAGACGCCGCGATTCGCTGTGCAGAGTTGCGTCCCTTGGGCACGCCAGAAACCTATGATTGTGGGTTCGAATCCAGGTTCGCCCCGGTTATGTTTCCATGTTTGTCAGCACCATACCCGTGCTCGTGGGTTTCACCGAAGTGCAATCTCATTAAAATGAGATCTAAGTTCTCGCTGGCGCTAAACAAAGATCTGAGGACATTCCATTACGGGTCACGTCGGACTGATTTTGAACTTGAGATCTGATTTTAATGAGATTGCACCGAAGTGGTAAACGTCTAAGACCTGCATCACTCCGGGCTTTCCTCCCGTATTAAGCTGACACACCGTGATTATAAATGGAATACTGTTAAAAGCAGCGTTAAACCCAACTCACTCACTCATGTCAAATAGTGACAATACCAGGTGTTCGCGAAGAGGCGAAGTGCTAAAGATTTTATAACATACTTTAAATCAGAATAGTTTAGTTTGTACTTGGATGTCATAATGTTAGATACGAAAACAGCGCTGTTCAACTTCACCCTATTGTGTATGTGGAGAGGGCAACGTAAGCCTCTTTGGCCTACATTTTGGTAGTCCTGTTTGGAGCGCATCTATCTTAGCTCTGCTGTGCCTGCCTGTTGTAAAGTTGTACTTACATGAACTGGATGTCTCCATAGTGTCTCTCGTTTCCGTTCCACAGGAGACGGACTCCAGATCGTTGCGTGGTAGCCCGTGTGTGGAAGGCCATGAACCCTTCAATGCGGCTCTGGAAACTGCAGGTGGCCGTCGTGTAAGACCCGTCCGGGGAATCTTCGAAAGATCCAACGACGCTGGATTCGTTGCTCAACGCTGATATCACAAATCCATTTACCGGAGCGACTCCTATTATTTCGACTGGAAAAGGTAACATATTTATATATAAAACGGCAATGCAAGAGAATAACAAGTCTTAATTATTCCTCGAAACAGATTCCATTTGGCGAATGGCAAAATAGCTGTGAAAATTAGTTTTGTTTGTTGTTTAACGCCGCACTCAGCAATATTCCAGCTATATGACGGCGGTATGTAAATAATCGAGTCTGGACCAGACAATCCAGTGATTGACATCATGAACATCGATCCACGCAATTGGGAGCGATAACATGCATCAACCAAGTCAACGAGCCTGACCACCCGATCCCGTTAGTCGCCTTTTACGACAAGCATAGTCGCCTTTTACGGCAAGCATGGGTTGCTGAAGACCTATTCTACCCCGGATCTTCACGGGTCCACTATCAAGTAGTGATGACACGAGGTGTTGTTCGCGAAAAGGGTAAGCATGTCCAACCCTACCCGTAGCATACCATACGAATAACGTAGATATATTTATGCGGGGATAGGTTGATCTGACTGGGGATGGGAAAGTTACAATATGCGAACTCTTTAATACGTATCTTCCGAATGAGTCGTTCTTTTTAGTCTTGTCTACACTGAATTACAACGCTTCCACCACTTTGCAAAACGTCACATTATAATTATCTTGCCTTATGGGTTTCGTCCCCCTTAATAATAGTTATAATGAAAAGTTATTTATACTTGTACTAATTGTTCTAACCTTTGTCAAATGACGACATGGCAATTCCACCGATTTCTAATGTACAGTGCCGGACAAAAGAAAGTACACACCCACGTTGTGTTTTGGACCTAAGTTTGCAATGTATCGGCGAGTTTATTTGGTCAAATCCATTTTTCAAGTGTACACTTTCTTTTTGCCCGCAGCTCTGTTTAGAAAATCGATAACAAGGCTTTCACTACGAGACAACATGTCGCATTATTGCCTTGTCCTCCTTGACAATATGAGTTTAAACTTGTTCTAATCTGAATAAAACTACGAAATAGTAACATCTGGGGACTAGGTTGTGGGGTGAAGGAGAGTCATTGTTTAGGCGGGGGAGGGGTCGGCGATGTGGCCTGAAACATTTGGTCTTATTCACTTATCCAGTTTTATAAGCATGTTTGAGTTTAACAATGTCCAATGACTGACTCCTACTTTGATGAATCGATAATGTTTGTATGCTAACGGATTAGAACATGCTGAAATGTCATGCCGAATTGAAACTGTCTTTTTTAATATCCGTTTGTTTCATCCTATTGGTTTTACAAAGTTCAACAGCTGAGAATTGTTCAGACAGACAGAAGATACGTAAAACAATAAATAAAATGGTCTGCCTTATATGACTCCTATATTTGATGTCCCGCTGACTTAAATCACAACGTCCTCTGTTACAGAACTTCTTGTGTCAGATGCATGTATTAGCATTCACGCGTTGTGTCAGCCGGTGACAATGTCAATTGGTCGTTTGTATTTTTGTGTCCTAAATTACAGCCCTGCTCCAAAATAAAAACGTCCCACCCATGTACCTGCTTGAGTACCCATGTGTATAACTGTATATCATCCCGCCCTACTACCGTATAGCGAATTTTCCGTTTCATTAAAATCCCCCCGCTGTACTTTGTGGTTCGGATACATGAAGAAGGGAAGTCACTCAGTTGCCTATTTTGACCATCCACTTTCCCCGTCTTTAAAACGCTTACTGTATCACAGTCAAACTGCGATCAACCTGTGAATATTTCCGCACATATCTAAATACTGAACGCATGGCTTGGAGATGAAAATCGCACAAAGTAATATGGATGACGTTACAAGCATGCTTCCCTTCGATTATATTGTGAAGGCACAAAACCTCAATTGGAGAAAGGTGAGTGAGTATGGTTTTACGCCGCCTTTAGCAATATTCCAGCAATATCACGGCGGGGGACACCAGAAATGGGCCTCACACATTGTACCCATGTCGGGAATCGAACCCGGGTCTTCGGCGTGACGAGCGAACGCTTTAACCACTGAGCTACCCAACCCTCACAAATTGGAGAAAAGAATTCAAAAGTTGGTTAAGATGGAGAGAATTCGGGGACCCTATAATATAATAATATAACAATATGGAAATTGCTTGTCTATGAATAGCGTTGGTGCGGTTACATTCTGGGGTTTTATCCAACATTATCATAAACATACTGGATTGAATCAGCGGGTAATTTTTACCTAAAGTTTATATCCAACATTATTATGAGCCTACTGGATTGTCAATTCACAGGTTGGGATTTCTATCAAACATGATAAACATTTCAATAAAGGGGATAAACCTTCAGGGGGTTTATTATAATTTGAGGTTGTCTCACTGCAGATTCGATACCTCCTATTTCGATTTGTAACCGACAACATATCGATGTTTTGTGTGAAAAGGCTTGTTAATTTAGACGTATCAAATGAACCGACGTAGCGACGAATATGACAAATAAATGGGAAGACATCCTCGATTATCCAGTGTATTATACACACATTCTTTCAAGATTAATACACTAGACCCAATCTCTACCACGAGGTTTCGTTTAGGAAGTGACGTCACATCTCAATTCCTCTTATCAGTATCGTGCTTAGAATTTCTCTCGCATGTGATTGTAATTTGATTGGATGACTTTATTTATCGTACTGACGTTTGAATGGGACTCGAAACGAGGAAATATTAGTGAATGGGTGCACAGTATTTTTCATATTAGAATCGACATACAATACACTGAATATACACGCGAGGATGACCCTTACAAAGTATAAACACTCACCTCTTATTGGCTCGTCCCAATATGTACTGGCATAAACCTCCAAGCGAAATGGCGCCGGTCCCGCCTGTGGTGGACAGGGTCCCTGGCATGTCATGTGAACTGGCATTCTGTCTCTCGGCAGACGATTACAAAACATGTTCCGGTTCGCACCTGCTGTCAAAGCTGTACCATCCGAAAACGAATAAACTTCGGACACCATATAGGTAAGTATACCCAACAACAACATTGTTGCAAAACTTCCGATCTTCTCACACGTTTTACTCATTTTTTTTTGTATATTACGGTAGCTAGAGCTTCCTATTCAACAACAAACGTCTCAAAAGTAAGTTTAGATTCCAAATGCCATGCAGGCGTCGATGGCACAGTGTCGTCTGGTTGCCTTGACATGGAGAGCCTCGCTATCAAGTAGTACCACGGGCGACTGGGATAGGACATCCGGCTCAAGCCCATCAAAGCGCTCATTGGACGGTCTTGACACGTCGTGATGGATTGATTTGGACACCTATCAATCAATAATGAAATTAATTCTAGTTTGATAAGAAACTAACGACTTTTGAGATATTTTAGAATCTTGTAGTTGGTTATACTTTGTATTTAATTGAGGGATAGACTGTAAACACGCGTGAAAGATTGCAGGACGAAACTGGAATTTGCCTACAACTGGAACGATACATTGATATCGATCTCCACACGATAGGAATCGTGATACGCATTACTATACACTACTTTGGAAAATAAAATTGTGTAAATGTGCTGTACTTCTTAAACAAGCTTAATATTACTAAATATATCAATGTTATTTCAAGACAACACAAATACAGGAAGAAATGTACTTTGTGTGGTAAGTCAAATTAATGATGACTACTGCTTTGTAGAACAGTCCATATATAATATTGTGTATAATATATATTGTGTATAGATATCCATATTGTATACTGCAAAATCGTTATCCAGACTTTTGTTTCAAACAAACCAGCACTTTATCTACAAATACATTCTAAATTTGGATAAAACACAACAATTGTTATTGTTAATCTATCTATTTCAAATTCATCTTCTCGCTAAAAAGCCGCATCCATTCACCCATTAAAGAAACTGACACTGTCAGCCGGTTGAAGGAGTTTGAAACAACCTGCATAGTTTTTTTTACAGATATATGTTGTGTTAATTTTGCCTGGTTATAAAGGGACAATAATCTTCCTGTAACCAAATATTTAGCTGCGTTTTTGAAAAATGTCCTTTCGACATCAATCACTTCGGCACAGGGAGGGAACGAGACAAGATGGCTGCCTCAATGTACTTAAGGGACCTAGTGACGATATGGCTTGGGGATACTGACGGTGAGAGTCATAATGTACCTGTCACAGGCCGAACGAGCTTGCGAAGTCCGATCAAACTGACCCATATAAGTTATATCACTACACTGAAACCTGGTTAACTCAAATTCCGATATATCTGTGAAGACGACGAACTACTGAACTGTTTAGCGACATGCATGCACGTGCGTGTGTGGCTGCTTCACCCTGTCCGGACTTGTGCCGGTTTTACGATGCTATTTGATATCCACTTAGATACCATGTCGCAGTTTTTAGCGCAGATACCCCACTCGGACCCAATATGCTGACTCCGGGGCAAGCGGTTCTTGTTATTTCCCCTTAGTACCGTGCGCTGGGCAGGGTGACAACAAGTACCACCTTTTACTGTCTATTGGTATGAGGCGGCGAGGGGATCGACCCACAGACCTTCCGCTCTCCTTTAAATACAAAATCCTTTTACGAAAGACTCGTGAAGATCCGGGGTAGAATAGGTCTTCAGCAATCCACGCTTGCCGTAAAAGGCGACTATGCTTGTCGTAAAAGGCGACTAACGGGATCGGGTGGTCAGGCTCGTTGACTTGGTTGATGCATGTTATCGCTCCCAATTGCGCGGATCCCACATTAAGCTGACACGCCGTGATATAACTTGAATACTGTTAAAAGCGGCGTTAAACCCAACTCACTCACTCACTCACGTTAATGAGGAATGAATTCGAGTTTGGAGACGTCATAGTGGTGCCATTTGCAGAACGTGTTGGGCTACATTTCATCTTTCAAGATGATAATGCACGCGCTCATCGTGTCGGGATTGTGACCCAATTCCTCAAACAGCAAAACATCAATGTCATTTAACGTGTACGTCAACGTCAAAATCCATCAACAACTCTCAATGAATCGGGATCGGGTGGTCAGGCTCAGTGACTTGGTTGATGCATGTCATCGCTACCAATTGCGTGGATCGATGCTCATGATATTAATCACTGGATTGTCTGGTCCAGACTCGATTATTTACATACCGCCGTCATATAGCTGGAATATTGCTAAGTGTGACATTAAACAACAAACCAACCAACCTTTTACGACACTAAAGCACACAAAAAGGTAGGCGACTTTACTTGTTGCACGAGGCGACTAATGGAATCGGGTGGTCAGGCGTGAACCGATGCTCATATCAATCACTGGATTGTAATGGTCAAGACTCCAAAAATGGCAGTCCAAAACCAGCTTGATCCAAGTTCCGTCGTTTCTGTAGATTCTGTAGTTCCGCCATGTTTAATACAAGCAATGACGTAATTGTTGATCCACTGTTCTCTATATCGACATTGATATATAATACGTTGTTCATTTCGTAAGAATGTAGGCTATAGGCCCAAATTCACAGCACACAAAATGGTCGAAAAGTAGCATTAATATAATTCTTTGATGTTCAGTCACTTTTTACACCAACAATAATGTACACTTCATTTGTTGCTGAATCACATTTCACAAAGGTATTGATGGTATTGAATTCTTTATTCAGTACAGTACAGGCCACAGGCCCTTTGTACAAAATGTATGGCATATTTATGGCAACAGTCACAATGATAAAATACGTGTTCTCTCTTCTTTACTGTGATACAGATATTTAGCGATATTAATAATCAGCTTTGTGGTGGTTGTAGATAAAAGAATATTAAACTTATGGACATTTGGGTGTAGATAATATTTTGAAGGAATATAGAGATGGCGTAGGTGAATGTATGCAGGGCAGGAAATGAAACTCGTTTTCTATTAGGCCAACTTGACATAGTTTGCAAAATCTTTCTTCGCGAGGGATATTAAGTTTTCTACCAGTTTCTATTCCAGCCAGTGTGCGCTGCAGCTAAACCTTGACATACATGACCGGAATTTACTCACGGTTACACAATACAAATATTCTTCACCCTTCAACGTTAATTTAAAATGAGAATAGAAGGACATTTTGGAGCTATTACATAAACTTCTATGCCATAGTTGTTGAAAATTATCTTTCAAACGTTGAAGTAACATCGAAGTAAATACCTTTACGTTACCGGGTGATTGTGATAACCAAACATGACCGAATCCGAGTGAAAATAACGTTGTTCCAATATTAGTAACCCAATTCTTCTTTCCTTGACTATCGTATAGATACATCATTTCATAACACTTTTTAGGTGAGCGGGTACCCGGCATACACATTAAACGTAGCCAATATTTAAAAGATCTCATCATTGCATTGATATGTAAAAGGAATCTGCCACATTCACCCAAAACAGCGCTACTTGATGCACATTGTTTAAGATTCAATAACCATTTACACGTATATAAATGAACTTTCTCAACTTCTTCCATTTTATGGAATGCCCATATTTCTGACCCATACAGTAACATAGGTGATATCTTGGAGTCAAACAATCTGAAAAGAAATTTTGGAGAATAAGGCTGTAAACAATTGATGCTTTTTAATAGGTTGATTAGTACCATTTCAGCTTGAACTGCTATGTTGCTTAAAGCTTGTGTCCATGGAAGCCTGCTGCTAAAAAACAAACCTAAATATTTATACCATTGTGTGACATCCACAAGTTGTCCATTCAGATACCATTTTTCACTTTTTTTCAGCCGCCCACCTTTCTGAAAAACTACGATTTTAGTTTTTTCAATGTTTGACATACTCCAGTCCACACAATATTTATCTAAGATAGATAGTTCCTTCTGTAGTCCCCCAATAGTGTCGGAAATTAAAATCAAATCATCTGCAAAGAGCAATAATAAAACTTGTATAATATCAGGGTGTATCTGTACTCCGTATAGCTGCTTCTGTTCCATTGTGTGTACAATTTCATTTATGAATAACTGAAATAAGAAGGGGCTTAAAACGCAACCTTGTCTGACACCTAAATTACATTGAAATTGGTTTGACTACAGGTTGTTACTTCTGACACATGCCTTGACATTACCATAAATTGACTTTAACATTTTGGACATCTTGACACCGTGCTTTCCAAATACTTTCCACAGATAGGAACGACGAACAGAGTCAAACGCCTTTGAGAAGTCTATAAAGGCTACATATAACTTACGACCAGACATACCTAAATATCTTTGAATAATAGCATTTAAAATAAATAGATTGTCAATTGTCGAGTGTCCTCGTCTAAAGCCAGATTGACATTCTGATATTTTGTCATACATATCTGCCCAAAAAACTAATCTATTATTTAATATACTTGTGAACACTTTAGACAAAATACTCAATAAACTAATAGCTCTATAGTTATCTTTGATTAATATTGAGCCTTTTTTATGTAATGGGATAATAACACCTGTATCCCAATCTTTTGGAAAAACACCACTATCAAAGATACAATTGAAAATTATCTCAACATGAGGGACAATGTTAGGTAGTGCAAACTTCAGGTATTCTGGGAGAATATTGTCCATACCAGGTGATTTAGAGTTTTTGAGAGAATTAATACTGTCAATAATTTCATCTTTTGTGATTGGTCCATCCAGGATGTTGTGGGAGATTTCCTCGCTTTCTAATATTAGTGGTTCGGCTTCGTCGTTTAAGAAATCACTATCTTCTTCAATGGTAGATTGATTAAATAAATGTTCAAAGTATTCAATCCATTCTTTTGAATCTATGGGATTATAGTTACTTTTTGTATTCTGCAAGTCCTTGATATTCTTCCAGAATGACTTTGAATCAGTAGTTTGCTCCAGTGTGGTACATTTACTGGTCATGTAATCCCCTTGTTTTTTTCTACAAATAGTCTTATATTCATTCCTAATTTGATGGTAGTTCAGCATGTCGTCATTGTCTTTGGTTTTTCTAAATTTGTTAAGTGCACGACAGCGTTCGTGTTTCATTAACAGACAGTCATCATCATGCCACGGGTTTCTTGTTTTACAAATATGTTGATGATTGTTATTATTATTCCAAGGTATGTTTGCTGCTTAATCACGCATTATTTAGACAATGTAGCTAATTTACACAGGCATTAATGTTCTTTTGCTGCTAAATACCTGAAATGGTTTGCTGAAATGC